AGATAATCATTCCCTCCATGGTCCCTGAACTGGGGTGTCACAATATCCACAGCTCACTTCTGTGTCCCCATCTGTGCACTCCAGAGAATACCAATGAGTCCAGGGGACTCATTGAGGCCATCCTAGAGCAAGCCAACTTCCCACAGGATAATGTACTGTTTCTTTCCTCTGCATTCTAGTCTTTGCTTTTTGAAGACTTTTTTGTTTTGTCCTGTTTTTTGAGACAGGGTTTCTTTGTGTAGCCTTGGTTGTCCTGGAAGTCACTTTGTAGAACAGGCTGGCCTCAAAATCAGAGATCCATCTGTCTCTGCCTACCCAGTGCTGGAATTATAGATGTGAGCCACCACCTGGCCTTTTGAAGACTTCTTTTGCATTAGTATATATAAATCATTGCTCCCAAGACTTAGGACATCTGTCTTCCACTCCTCACTTGACTGAAACACTGTTAATGTAACTTTGAACAAGTCCTTTCTCCTTTCTGCTTCCCTCAGAATGAGGGAGGGATATGTAGTGTTCTTGAGATGCTTCTTTCTTAGACACTAGAAATAAGGGCTTTGAAAAAGCCTGTTTTAAAATGGAAAACTGTTCTTCATGTAATTGACATGCTGCCTTCCCAGCGCTCAGGAGACAAAGACAGGAGAATCACTGCAAGTTCCAGGCCAGCCTTGTCTGCCTGAATAAAAAGGCCAGCTAGTGCTGCACAGTGAGACCCTGCTGTGAAACAATAAAATTCACCAGACATAGTGACTCATGCCTTGAATCCCAGCACCCAGGAGGCAGAGGCAGACAGATCTCTGTGAGTTCAAGGTCAACCTGGTCTACATAGTGAGTTCCAGCCAGTGCTACATAATGAGACCTTCTATCAAAAAAAGTAAATAAAATAAAAATCAATGAATAAGCAAAATAGAACATTGAAGTCAATATATCAGATTAAAGAAATCACTAACATCAACAGCAAAAAGTAAAAACCCTAGACCTGTTTTGGTATTATTTTTTAAATCAAATCTCTCACAAGAGCCCAGATTATAAGAGCTGTAAAAATGGGGCTAGTCTGATTTAGGCCTACTGCCCTCCCCATCCCCATTCCAGGGGCCTGTGGAATAAATAAATTGATAAAGTCACAGGGTTCCTGGAGGGGCTAGAAGCCACATGGTGTAGTCCAGTGACATCCAGGGGCACAGAGAAGAAGAGCTGCCCTGGCCCTCAGTCTGCTGTAACAAACCGTCCTAAGCTAGGTGACCTTTTTAAAAGCAACAGCTCATTTCTTCTAGCTTTGGAAGCTGGAATCCAAGTCAGCAGCCATGGTGTCTGGGCCATCCCCTGTTGCATAAATGGCTATCTTGTTCTCTTCCAAGGCTACTGACATCACCTATAAAGATTCTGTGCTCATGACCTCATCACCTAGAGTAAGACAGACACATGTTCAACTTGTCTCTAGTGCCAAACAGTGGGACCTAATCTCTCTATGCCTGGCTTCCTCGGTAGTAAAATAGAGTAATAAACCAACAGCTAATAATAAGTAGAACCAAGTAAGGTACACAATGAATAATAAAATAGAGGCAAGTGGCTGAGTGTAGCATACACTGTGTGAGAAACATGGTTCTGTGCAGTTGCTTGCTGTCCACCATGGTGGAACTACAGTACACGCCTGGGGCTTTCTCTCTTCCCACCCTTCCCCAGCAGCACACTGAGCAGGGCCTAACACCTGGCCTGGGTCTGACCTGAGTTACATGTAGGTGTCTTCCTTTATTATAAATAGCCTGAGGCTTGACTCCTTCAAAGCATACTTTCTATAAAGCAACATGGGTTATACATCACAAATTTTGCCTTATTCTATGAAATGACTGTCATTATTTCCTAACATTTACTAAGCACGCATCACTTGCCAGGTACTATATTAAGTACTTTTCCTTGATTACCTCATTTAAACCTCACTGCATCCTGGAAGATAAATGTTGTCAGTGTCTTTATTTGTGCATGAGGATGCTGAGGTTTTGGGGAAGGGTGCAAAAGCACACCAATCATTTGGGTCTAATGACACACACCCAGTAAAGAAAGCATGCAAACCCTGATCTGCCTGGTTCTGAGTCCCTGTGCTGTGCTGCCTCCCTGTTCTTCCTAGTCCTCAGGAGATGTCCTGTATCTCTGCAGGTGCCAATCAGTACAAGTACGGAAAGAACCGGGCTGAGGAGGATGCCCGCAGGTACCTGGTAGAAAAAGAGAGGTTGGAAAAAGAGAAGGAGATGATTCGGACAGAACTGATGGCTTTGCGACAGGAGAAGAAGGAGCTAAAGGAAGCCATCCGGAATAACCCAGGTACCTGCCAAGGTGTGGCCTGAGTGCACAAGGGTGGCTCAACCTAAGACCTCCCCTGGCATATTAAGGGGAGGCCTCTTGCACAGATTTCCTAGTTTCCCACCCAGAAGAGGTGGATTTGCCCCCCCCATTGTCATTCATCGTGATTAAAGAAAGTGCTGGCAGTTTAGTAGCTGCTTCCAGATAGAGCATGGAAGTATGTAGACCTCCCTGTGGTAAGAAATGCTCTGCTTCAGCAGTGTGGAGAGCAGGGCATGCCTCGGCATCTTGGATGGAAGACTACTTGGGTCCTGCCTTCATTCACTTAGATGTACAACAATGGCCCAGAGCTAGGCTTCCAGGATCCTCTTCTGAAATCCAAAAACCTCAATAGGCCCTGCCTGCTCTGGGCTTCTCTTAACTCCATTTTCCACTGTGTTTCTTTGAATTCTTACCTAGATGTATTTCTGCCTGGCTTTCTCCCACATGTTCTGGGGGATAGGAAGTCCTGCCTTGTAGAACATACATGGTCCTTATGGAGCAAAACACTACATCAAATGATACAGACAAATTCAGTGGCCCAACCCTAGAGCCCATCCATCCACAGATCACAGTGGGCCTAAGATAAGGACCTCTGGTAAACCAGAGAATAAACACATGGAGCCGTGTATGATGGGGAACACCTCTAGACCCAGCACTCAGGTGGCAGAGGCAAAAAGATCTTCATGAGTTGGAGGCCAGTTTGGTCTACATAGCAAGTTCTAGAACAGCCAAGGTTACATAGTGAAACCCTGTATCAAAAAAAAAAAAAATTGAAAGGGAGAGAATAAACACACAGTAGGATGACAAGGAAAGCAGTTTGGTTTCAGCATAAGAAAAATTTGTGGGGCTAGGGATGTAACTCAGTGGTGGAGCACTTGTCTGGTATGTGTAAGGTCCAGGATTTAAAGCCCCCATACAAATAAACAAATGAACAAACAAAGGACAGGAACTTTCTAGAGGTAAGAACCATGATTTGGAACAGACTGACTATCCTAGCCAACGTTGTTGTCTATATCGATTTGCAGTATACATAAGTTATTATATTCATTACTTTTACTTGTATTTGTCATACACATATACATGTAAGATTCATAAAAGCTCAGATCTTTGCCTGTTTTCTTCACTGATCCATCCCGAGGGTCTAGGACAGTGCTTCATATGTAGTAAGAATTCAATAAACAACTACTAAATCAATGAATGAATGTCTTTAACATGACTATAAAACCTTCTAATGGAAATTAAAGGATGGAGATGATTCTGGACTGAGCTAGAGCTGTAGCTCATTGGTAGATGCCTGCCTGGCATTCACAAAACCCTAGATTCAATCCCCAGTACCACATAAACCAGGCATGACAGCACACACCATAATCCCAGCATTTTGGAGGCAGGCATTTTCCACTGTGCAGTCTGAGGCAAGCCTGGGCTATGTGAGACCATTTTGTTTTTAAGATTTTTTTTTTGATGGGAGACTGTGGGTGTAGCCCTGTGGTAGAGCCCTTCCTGGTGTGCAAGCCCTTGGGTGCAATTTCCACCCCACCCCCACCCCCCACAAATGGAGCTTCTTAGCATGACAGAAGTATTCATGAAGATTTGTCTGTCAGTTTACACTAAATAAACAGCAAGGTCCTCCTGGAAAACCTGGGCTGTAGAAAGCTCTGAACTATGACTCAGTACACAAGTAACAGAAACCAGAATCACACACAAAAAATGCAAACTGAAAACTGAGAGATCAGATATGTGTGGTGACATATAAGGAAACAAAAGTTTTCAGTCTCTTCCTCTTGGTGACATAGTGGCTGCACAGCACAAGCCTTCACCCAGTCCTCTGGACACCCCAGCAAAAGGGGTGTCTCTTCCCAATGAACACCACCAAAATCTCAGGAGTCACTCCATTTGGACCAACTCTGTATTCTAAACCAATCACTGTGAATGGAAGATGAGAGGTGATCACTGGCCAGGCCCCCATATTACATGGGACCCACTTACTCAAACTATAGGGAATAAGAGGGCAACAGTGTTTTTGCAGTGAAATATGTGGGTACTGTTTCCTGAAGATGGAGGCTAGGCAGATAAAGACCACACCACAGAGTGTGGCTGGTAACCCACCTCAAAGTCTATCTTTTAACTGCACCCACACTGCTGGGAAGGCTCTCCATGAGAGACAATGGGACCTGAGGCCCCACAGACTTTCTCACCAGTGTCTCTGGACTCAGGAGCAAAGTTGAAGGCCTTGGAGGAGGCTGTGGTCACTCTAGAAGCACAGTGTCGTGCCAAGGAAGAGCAGAGGATCGACCTGGAGCTGAAGCTAGTGGCTGTGAAAAAACATTTGCAACAGTCCCTGGCAGGGGGCCCCGCCCTAGGCCTGTCTGTGAGCAATAAGAACAGGAACCAGGTGAGTCCAATGCCTCCTCCATGGGGCAGCCCATTAGGAAGCATTACTATAAATTGTCAATGGTCATATCGTTCTTTGTCTGCATAATACTGAACCAGAGAGAGAGAGACAGACAGACAGACAGAATATATGCATATGCATATCCTTATTTGTATAATGTCTGTCTCCTGCCCCATGTATTTTGTAGTTGGGTGCAAATAGATGGCACTGTATCTTACCTACTTAATGGTTTTGTTTTGTTTGCCATGAACAGGAAAGTACAAATAAACCCCAAAGTAATACCCCAGAGCAATCTCTCCCTGTCAACTGTGTTTCTGAGCTGAGGAAGAGGAGTCCATCCATTGTAACCTCCAACCAAGGAAGGGTGCTACAGAAGGCCAAGGTAAACCAAGAAAGAGCTCAGCTAATGGCAGAGCACAGATCTGGATCTTTCTATACAAGATCCATCCCAAAAACCCAGAATGCCACCTAATGAGAAAGGCAGGGAATGGGGAGAAAGCCAGGTATAGCCATGCAGTAAAGCCTGACTTCTTGCCCTTCATTAACATGGTTCTGACAAGCTGCCATCAGGTTTTCGAGCTTATCAGCATAGCAAAGTAGTAGGAGACAATATTAGGGGTAATGGGCCTGGTCCAAGGCAAAATAAGAAGCCAATACAAGAACAGAGAGGCTTGGGTTTCACTGTATGATGCTGGTCCTTAACCTCTTCTGTGTAATTCTTGTGGACAGTTGTTAACAACATTTTGGGCTTCATAAAGGCATATGTATTGGAAACACTCGAACACATTTCTCAAGCATCTGAGTAACTCCACACCGTACAGCAGAAAACATCTTCTATCCAGCCACATCAGGTTTAGCCACCAAATGAGTTTGTGCTAAAATGCCTGGAAACTATGCCTGTTTCAGGGTTTTCTGGATTTCAGAAGAAACAGTTAAAATGGTGTGGAACTGGGAAACAAATGTTCAATATTGGACACAATGGCACACCCCTACAATCCTAGCACCTAAATGTGAGGCAGAGGGATCATGAGTGCCAACACTGCATAGTTTGATTTAGAAGTAGCTAACCTTACTAAGAAATGTAGAGACAGACCAATGGGTTTCCCCTTCTTTAAGATGAAAAGCCACATAGCAAGGAACCCAAACAAGCTTTTCTTTCTCTTGGGGACTCAGGAAGATAAGACTTCACAGTGAAGACTGTGGTGGCACCTCACAGGAAGGAATTTAAGCAAAATCAAGCAGAGGAAGAGGAGAAAGGTGACATGCAATTGAGGTAGTTATTTTAACTATTGATAGCCACTGCCTTTGCAGTGGGTCGTACACAAGCAGAGATCTGAGGAGAGCGTGAAGAAATGGGGCTGGAGGGATGGAAAGAGAAGATCCAGAAAGAGAAGAACGCGTGCCAAGTCCTCACTTGTTTGTGGACAAGCAAGCAGAAAGGTGAACACTAAGAGTGAGAGGCAAAAAGGAATGACCAGGCTACAGCAGCCAGGCCCAGAAGCCAGCAAACTTTTCCTGTGAGGGTCTTTGCTGCTCAGGAAAGATTTTCAACATAGTAGGCTGTAGAGTCTGTGTTGATTCTGCCACTGTGGCTGGAAAGCAGGCCCAGACAAAAACTAGCACATGAAGAGTGTCCCAATAAACCTTTGCTTACAGGCATTGAAACTTCAATTCTGTATCACTTTTACTTGTCACAAAATACTGCTGTTCTTTTAGTATTTTTTCCAAGCACTTAGAGACTCGATAAAATGTGCTTAGTTGGTAGGCTGTATGAAAACAGATAAGCCAGAATGAGTCAACAGGCCACAGCAGTTCCTCATCTACAGACTTTAGACCACTGGAGGGAGTGTGGATTTTAACTTACTGGGCAGATTTGAGAAGACTGGCTTTCTAAATGCCAAGTGCATTTTTAGAGGCCACTTTGGGATTTGGAAAGATGGATTAGCGGTTAAGGACACTTGTTCTTGCAGAGGACTGGGGTTCAGTTCCCAGCACCCACCTGGTGTCTTACCACCATTTGTAACTCTAGAGATCTGATACCCTCTTCTGATCTCCATGGGTACCAGGCACACACATAGTGCACAGAGAGACATTACAGGCACAGGCAAAACACACATACACATACAATAAGCAAATCAATAAAAAATGAAAAAAAAAAAAAACAGTGGTGGCACATGTCTTTAATCCCAGCACTCAGGGGGCAGAGGTAGGTAGATGTCTGTGAGTTTGAGGCCAGCCTAGTCTACACAGCAAGTTCCAGGACAGCCTGTCTTGAAAAACCAAAGTAAGTAAACAAACAAATAAAATAAAATAAAATAAACATCCTGGCTAGGTATGTAATCCCAGCACTTTGGAGGCTGAAGCAGGAGGCTCACCAGGAATTTAAGGCCAGCCTGATTCTACATAGAGACCTTGTCAAAACCACCACACAACAAAAAGCTATCCTGACTAGTCTGCTGAGAACGGACAAAGGGACTAAAGGTCACAGAGACTGAGGAGCAGGGCCCCCCATGGTCTCTAGCATGGCCAGTGGAGTATTTCAGAGAGAATGCTGAGTGTCCCACTAGAACCCTCAACAACTGATTTTTTTCCCTTATCTTTCTGTGCTTTAGGAATGGGAAATGAAGAAGACCTAAGAAGGGTGAGAATTCCATCCTAAAGGAGTATCAGCTTGTCCATCTAAAGAGGAAATGCTTTCTTCACAAAGACATCGGGAATAGACTGGAGCACCCAAAAGACCAGCTTGATTGTCTGCATGACTTTAGGGATGGTGGGAAGGGAGAAGTGGAAAGCATCCTTCCAGCTTTACAGAGGGTGGAGGGGGGAGCGGCAGGAGATAGAATCGTGCACCTTTGTAAAGGTTTCGTTAGGTATCTCTGCCTTCTGAAGCAATGAAAGCACATGTGAATAAGCCATTCCACCTTTCCTCAGCATCCAGGCCCAGTCCTCAATGCAAAGGAAGACAGTGTTGAAGCACTGGTAGCGTCATGATGAAAGAAGATGCTCCATCACCTGAAAACATTTAGGCAGACTGCATTCCTATTGGACATTACAGACAACCCTTGGGTGAGGGTAATGGACTGGAAAATCAATATATCCCTGCCTACACAACAGTGAACAAAAGCTATTGAGAACATAAAAATGCCACAGTTGTTCTTCATCTGTTTTAGTGCCAGGCAAACTACAGCCACTGGAACCTTCCAGATCTGAGCATTTTAAAATCAGATTATCTGAGTATGCATAGGGGAAAGAGAGTTGATCAGCTGGCCCATTTTAAACTCAGTGGCAGAAGTATGAAGTTCTAATGCCCACACATTGTTGCATGCATTGGAGGGTGGAGTCATTTGCTGTCAGTCAAGTGCTTACCTATTTAATGTGATCCTAAGACTCCTGGGACTGTGATTGGAGGACTAAGTTTTTAGTCTAATGAAGTCTTCATCTTGTACTAGGAGGCCTGCAAGCCTGTCTTCATATCTGCTATGCAGTGAAACTATTGAGGAAAACCAACAGGATGGTGGCTCATTTCTGCCATGAGGGTGCTAAGCCTTTTCCAAACACTTGATATTTTTATAGGACCTCAAGTCCTAGGCAACCTCTTTTCTGTGCTATTCATGACTGTCTCAACACTGGGCTTTTAGGTCGATTTTTAACATATTCATCTCCAATAAAGATGAAACTATTCAACTCTGAGAGGTCTGAGGGTAGCTGGTACTTGGTGGGGAGTGGGATAGAGAGAGGTTTTGTGCCTCAGAATAACCAGTGGATGGTTGGCTAGTCTTGGTATGTTATCCACCTAAGGCTCCACATACTTCAGCCTCATTGAAACCTTACTAGTCTTTGCAGTAGCTGGAGACCAGAGCAGGAAAATCACTGGTAGGACAGACACATTAGGGATCACGGTCCTGGCAGCGCTGACTGCTGCTAACTGAAGGATAATCTCAGCCAAGTCATTAAAACCCTCTGGCTCTCATTGAAGAACAGGCTATGTGATTGTACTTTACTCCCAAGACTTCTAGTGTGTATTTAATGAGCTAATTCATGAGAAGCATCTTCTATATTTAAAGTTGGAAGTACTTGTCAGAAGTGGATTTTAGTATCAACTAGATGAGAAAGGTTTGACTCAAAAACCTTTATGTATTTATATAAAATGAGTGGTAACAGCAATCAAAAGGCATCCGATCCAAAAAAGGTTTTCATTCCAAATTGCACTTCTGTGTCTTCAGTGACTAACAGCCCACATTTGCCAGTGCTCCTTGTTAAGCTGTATATTCTACAATGGCGCCCCACCACTGTGTCTTAAGTATCTGTCACATTCTTTGTTAGGCAGTTATTTTAGGGTTAAACACAAGTAAATCTCGGGCTCAAAGAAAGGCCTGCATCATTAATCATTAACACACATGAGGAGGACACGCCACCTCTCAGGGACTAACAGCCTGTGTCACCTGAGGCCCATGCTCAGAGCACACCTAGTACTCACCTTGACATTTAGCTGCTGCCTTCTTGAAAATGTTTCTCCTTAATAATTTTTCAACAAGAGGTTCTGCATTTTACTCTTGTCTTTTAAACAATGTAACCAGAATCCAGCAAGATGACTCAGAGGGCATAAGGGGGCTTCCTGCCAAGCCTGAGTTTGATCCTCAAAACCTGTATGATGAAAGGATGGAGAGAACCAGCTCCATCCCTCTGATGCCCACACAAAACCATGACACTCATACACACACATATACACTAAATGTAAAAATATTTTAAGACATTGTAGCCAGCTCTGATATTTATTGCCTTTCTAAACATTATGCCTGTACTTTACACTAAGGTTCTGTGAGATCAGTTAAAATATTTTTTTTTTTTTTTTTTTTTTGCAGTTTGGTGTGATTCTAGAATATTTCTTAACTCCAAATATCTTGTCTCTTCTATGGATCTCCATTCAGAAGCACATTTACACCTAATAAATATATGAAGAAAAATAAATACAACGTCAACCTGGTCTACATAGCAAGTTTTAGACCAACCAGGACTACACACTCTATCTTAAAACACACATATGCACACAAACATATGTATGTGTGTATACAAATGAATATGTGTGTACACATGGTCTGAGTTGTGAGCTAAAAGAACTGTGAGCAAACTGCTAAAGCAGACACCATCTCCTGTACTCAACTGTTAAATGCCTTCTTTGGCTTGTTAAAATGCCTTCTTGGGCCACAATTCTGAGAGGAACTTGAAGTTCCAGTCTCCTCAACACTTTCGTGTTAGATTCTTTATGTCCCTCATCATCACTGGGAAACTTTACATGGGCTCACCAACCACTCAGAGTCTTAAGTTTCTTATCTGAAGAAATCATAACCTCCACACCTATACTGCATTCTTACAGAATACCACATGAGGATGATGGTGTGTGGGTTGTCACTTCTGAGCTGGGCCTTGAACCAGATCAAAGATATAGAAGACTGTCTCTGTCCTCATAGAATTCATGAACGGGCAGAAAACAAAGTCTGACCCAAGTTGCTAGAGCAGAAGGAAGCCAAATTTCTGTGAGGATTCAGAGTGCTGAAGAAACATGTTCAATTCCTTTTTTTTTTTTTTTTTAATTTTTTACTCATTTTGACCTTAAGGTCTACTCAGTAATTAAGCTTGAAACCCCAATCTTCACACTTACACATCCCTTCATCCAAAACCATGAAGGAGGAGCAGGAGGAAGAAGAGGAAGAGGAGGAGGAAAAGGGCCACATTAATCCCAGCACTCAGAAAGTGAATCTCTTGAATTTGAGGCCAGTTTGATCTACAACCAGGGGGTGGTGAGGGTTTCTCATGTATCTGACTGGCCTATTCCATTTGATGTATGTATCTGGCTGGCCTCAAACTGAGAGAGATCTGCCCTGCCTCTGCCTCCAAAGTGCTGGGATTAAAGTCATGTACCACCACACCCAGCAAAGCCCTAAAATGTATCCACATCTTGGGCTGGCAAAATGGATCAGCAGGTAAAAGGGGATTACCACCAAGCCTAATAACCTGAATTCAATCCCCAGGACTCACATAGTGGAAAGACAAAGACTACTGCAAATGGTCCTCTGACTACATGTATTCAAGTGTATACCCATATACATACATACACATGTAGAAAAAATAAGATTTACCTACATCTTCCCTGACATCATCCAACTTCATTAACAACTGTTTATTAAGAAAAAACAAAACAAAAAAAAAACAAAACAAAACAAAAAAACCCCGGAGTGATCAAGACATACCACTCAAACTCTAAATTGCAGAAAAGAAGCAAGAAAAAATACTAAGAAAATAGGATATAAACACAGAGACTTACATCAGCTAGGTAGGTTTCTCTGTAACTATCTAAGGTGATACGGGATGAGATGGTCTGCCCTGCAAATCCAGCACTGAACAGTGAAAGAGGAGTTCAGGGCTTCATAGTAAGACCCTCTGTCAACAACCATAATAAAAGACATTCCACCCTTTCTTGCCAGGGCTCTTCCAACAGCTTGTCTTCCTACCTCTTTTTACATCCTTCAGTTTTCTTTGAAAAGCAAAGGCACTTTCTTTTTTCCAGTCCATGTCTGGACTACTGAGCTGCATCCCCAGCTCTCTTGTATTTTGAGACTGCCTCGCTAAGTTACTCAGGCTGGACCAGATCTTGTAATCCTCTTGCATTACCTCAGAGTGGCTGGAATTACAGGCCTGAGTCATACCTGTTGTCAAGCTATTGAAATCAGAATTAGACAACAAAATACAGCTCTGCCCCGAAAGCGCTTAGATTTTGGTAAGCAGAAACAACTCAACATACATAATTAACACAGTTAAATAAAAAATCAGCCATAGGAGGAAAAATTGTGGGAGTGACCGGGGAAGGTGCGACCAGGCTGAGATACTTAAATTGCTCGTCAGACACTTCAAGCCTATTCTCCAGTTTGACCTTACCATACCCTTTCCCCGTATTTCAATCTTTTGCTTCGAGTACTCTCCCTCTTCACTGGCTCTTTCTTTACAAAAATCGTCACTCTCGGAACCACTTTCCTCCCCTTTTCATCTACTAATTTTTCGGCTATAGTCTAGTCTTTTTCAGTTTTGTGTGGGCGTGTATTTATTTCGGCGCGTACATGACTGAGCCCGTAGTGAAGTCAGAGAACACGCCGATGAATTCTTTTTTTTTTTTCTCCCAGTGGGTCCCAGGATCGAACTCGGGTTGCTGAGCTTGGCGGCCGTGCCTTCGCCCGCGGAGCCATCTTGTCGGCCTTGGAGTGGTGCCCCTGGCGTTTAAGCACGGGTCACATTTTACGTTTGTAACCTCAGTTGCGCTCCTCGAGGACGAGCTGCGG